GTCAGGAGTTAGAGACCAGCCTGACCAACATGGTGAAACCCCGACTCTACTAAAAATACAAAAAGTAGCTGGGTGTGGTGGCACATACCTGTAATCCAAGCTACTTGGGAGGCTGAGGCAGGAGAATCACTTGAACCCTGGAGGCAGAGTTTGCAGTGAGCTGAGATCATGCCATTGCACTCTAGTCTAAGCAAAAAGACCAAAACTCCATCTCAATAAATAAATAAAAATTAAAAAATAAACTGTTAGAAAATTTCTCATTCTAATAATTTAACTCAGCACAGTTACAATTAAATAGTGTAAAGAACTTCCTATTTTGGTTTTGGTTTTTTTCTCAAATCACTCTGGGTGGTTCCCTATTGATGTTTAGCCGTGTGTGGTTTGGTGGAATATGTAAGTTGAACAGAATAGTATTGGTAGTGATTTTCTGTCAGTTGGTAAGTTAAGAAATGATTTAATTATGCAAAAAGTAGAATGTGTTATGTTATGAAGAGACCACCTTGAGGGCTTAAGGGTCTTCTCTTTCTCAGCACTGCTGGAACAGTCGATACCTAACAAGCTTGGTTACGGTGTCCAGCTGAGGCTTCAACCTCTTACAGAACAAACTTCACTGTTATGCCAGAGGCCTCTCAGGAGAAGAGCTTGGATCTGGAATACACAATTAAGAACTAATTTAAAAGAAAGATCCTGCGATGTTATAAACATCAAAATATCTGTACATTTACATATACAGTTATATGCATAATATGACGCTGGTTACCAACTTGGCTGAGTCTGCTGAGACGGAACACAAACACACACAAGTTACATACATGGATTTGTTACTTACAGATGGGCAGCAAGGGTCCACAGCACCTGGGATTCACGGCAAGCTAGTCCTCTAAGGTTGAGGAAAGCTGCTTGGGGGAGGTGCAGTCCTGTCTGCACATGCCACACTTGTACCTCAGCTGAGGCATCCCCAAAAGCAGCCTACCTTGGGTTTGCTTTTATACTCCAGGATGAAGTTACCCTCTGGACAAAGCATTGAAAGATACTATGTTTCCAAGGTGAGTGGAACAGGCCCTGGGTGGTTCTAACCAGTTCCTCCCTCTCTCAGGGTGTTGCATTCCCAGTACATTCTACAGTTACTCTTGAGAGCTACAAATGAGAAAGGGGAGAGAACTGGGTACTGGTCCAAGGCCACGCAGAGAACTGTCCTGCACTCACATTATTCTAACCTTTGCAGTTAAAATAAAGGCTTCTAATTAGTCAAACTTGTGTTATGATAATTATTCATACATAGTCATAAATGCATTTATTATGTAACTAGAGAAATAAAAAATAAATTGAGTATTCGATCCAAGTCGCTGGATGAAAATACCAAAGAAGTAAGAGAAAGAAAATAATAGTAAGTTTATAAAATTAAAAAAAAAAATTTATGTGACGTTTTTGGATTTTTTCATGTTTATATCATTTGAACATTTTTCTACATGAATATTTGTAATTTTAGTACTGACTGATAGGAGCTGTATACGTTAGAAATGACCATTTATTGTTACATAGGATACAAATGTTTTTCATGTATTTATTCACTTTCCTATAAAGTTTTTTTTGCGATATTCTCACTGATAACGTTTAAAATTATAACATAGAATTTAACATTCTTCAGATATACTCACTCTTCTGTGTTATATAACTATCTTTTAAGTTCTCTGTTATTGGATATGTGGCATGTGTTGGATATTAAATACTTACTGAGGTACATTGTTAACAAAATCAAAAGTTCAGTGGAGCTTATATTGATCAGCCAATTATCCACAGCAGTATCTTCAGTCGTGGACAAAATAAAATCTAATTCTCCAAAAATACTGTTGTGTTTTTGCCTACATGTTTGTTCCTGACTTTAACAGTGTTTAAATACTTCTAAAAGATTCTGCCTTACATCAAATAATAGAAACAAACACCCAGATTGTTTGGTTTCTTAAAGAGTTTAGAGTCAACACCTTTTTTTTTTCCCCAGAAATGAAAAGTAGGATGTTTTAAAAATATTTTTTAGGATGAGAACACTACACTGTTTTCAAGTGTGATCACTAGATCATTCCATGATTGTTTTTACTTAGCGCTTTCCCATCGTTGGTATGTAGCCACTCTTAGATGACATGTGCCAACATGGTAAACCATCAAAATTGGAAACTCTTCTGTTTTGCCAATATTTCAGTTTCACAATGAACTATTTTCTGATTTTAAGATGATGGCTGGTACAAAATGTACCCATTCCACTTTCTTAAACCATTTTCTTTTTGAGAGAAATCAAGCATCAACAAAGATCCATAAAACTTAGTTGAGTTTTTATTTTTTATACAGAAGAATTTCCAGAGCTTTATAAACTTAAAAGAGAGCTTTCCACTAATCGGTCCACTAAAATATGTTTTGAAAGTAGTTCCAAATTACATTTTATAAGATTATTTACTATAAGCTTATTCTGTATAAGTTTGTATATAACCTAACTTTTCAAAAACGATTAAAAAAATATTCTTCACAACTTTCTTTAAATTCATCTTGAGCTGATCCACACTGTAAGGTATAAAATGAGAAACAACTCAAGTTGACACAGAGAAAAATCTCTATTCTTCAGTACTTCTTTTACTAACCAATGAATGGAAAACAAACTGAGAAATAACTTATTTCATGAAATGAGGGATGCCATTATGAGGAAACTTTAGTAATATTGGACCTGCCCAAGGTGAAAAGTTCAAAGGGAAAACCTTCCCTCCACAGACTACAAATCCCAAATGGCTACACAGCCAGTGTAAGTGTACTTACAGAGTAGGCAAATTTACAGACAGAAAGTGGAATCAAGCTTACTAGAGGATGAGAAGTGGGGAAAGGAATACTAATTTATTAATGAGTACAAAGTTTATGTTGGGGATAGTAATTTTTGGTGTAGATAGCAATGATAGTTATATAACATTGTAAATAACAGCATAAAAAGAGAGGAAGGAAAATAAAGTCAAAGAGTCTTCTAAGGCCCTTTTATTATTTGGTATGAGGTAAAGATACAAATTAACTGAGACTTGGATCAGTTAAGTGTCTGCAGTGGTCAGTTTTATCTGTTCAACTTGACTGGGCTGCAGGATGCCCAGATATTTGGTCAAACATTATTCTGGATGTGTTTGTGAGATTATTTCTGGATGAAATTAACATTTGAATCAGCAGACTGAGTAAGGCAAACTGCCCTCCCTAATGCAAATGGATCTCATCCAATCAGTTAAATGCCTAAAAAGAACAAAAAAACTGACTCTTCTCCAGTGAGGGAGCTCTTCATGCCTGACTGCTATCACTGGGCTATGAGTCTTTTACTGCCTTCAGACTTGGACTGCAAAATGGATTCCTTTTGGGTCTCAAGACTGCTGGCTTTCAGACTGTGTATGTGTGTCTCATTGGTTCTGTTTCTCTGAACAATATGGATATTGATATTGTATCTATGTTATAATTAACAGAATAAAAAGTTTAAAAGTTAGTATACAACTTCTAAATTACAAGGAAGTAAATTAGATAAGAACATATAAACAATCTAAGAGAAGACAAGAGAAAACGGAACATGGATAAACTGTGAACACAGATACAATGGAAAATGCACACCTACATATATCAGTAATTTTTTAAACATAGATTTACTAAACTATTTATTTTAAAGTAAAAATGAACAGACTATAACAAAAAACCCAACTTGCTGCTATTTTCAGAAGCTGTATATAAAACATTAGGATACAGAAGGGTTAAAGATTTAAAATCTGAAAAGGCATACCAGAAAAATATTAACCATAAAAGCTAATGTAGACAGGTTATTATTAAGAAGGTAAAATAATTACAATACATAGACATTTACTTATCTAACATCAACACTCATAAATAAAAACATCTCTAGAACTCCAAAGAAAATCCTCTACTCTGATTATTTTTCTTTTTAACACATTTTTATCATTAATTAATAGAAGAAACTATGAGGATTTAGAAGATTTGAACCTCATAAAACTGTCATTTAATCAAATGCTGCCAAAATGCACATCATTTTCAGGCACGTACAGAACATTTGTTAAAAAAGAAGCATACACTGAAGCATAAATAAAGTCTCAACAAATTTCAAATGATAGCAGATCTACAGATATTTTCTAATAAGGAAACCATTAATCTGGAGAAAAATAAAAGCAACATCAAAAATATCTAGACAAAAATGGAAATTAATAAGCATGCTTCGTTTCTCATAAGTCAAGAAGAAATCTACAAAGAAGTAGAAAATATACAGACGTCTATAAGAATAATTAGTTCAAAAATACTATTGCAAAATATATACAGTATATCTCTCTGATAAAAAAAATTTACAATAAAATTTCTCTCCTAGAGATGGACCAGCTGAGAGTCAAATAAAAGTAACAAAGATATCCAGATTGAAAAAGAAGAAAAACTATGTCTACTTATACATGACCTGAGTTTTGTATACAGATAACTCAAAAGAACACCCCAGAAAACTGTTAGAATTAATGAGTTCAGCGTTTGAAGGACAAAAATCAATATTAAAAATTAATTGTATTTTTATATATTAGCAATGAACATTCAGTGAATGAAATTAAGAAAACAATGTGAAGTAACTTAGGAATGGAAAACCAAATACCGTATGTTCTCACTTATAAGCTAAGCTATGGGTAGGCAAAAGCATACAGAATGGTAAAATGAACATTGGAAGCTCAAAAGGGGAAGGGATGAAAAACTACATATTGGGTACAATGGACACTCCTCAGGGGGTGGGTGCACTAAAACCTCAGACTTCACCAATACACAGTTCATCCATGTAACCAAAAGCCTCTTCTACCCCTAATGCTACTGAAGTAAAACATATATGTACAATTCCATTTCGAATGATGTCAAAAAGAATAAAATACTAAGCGGTAATTTAACAAAAGAATCGCCTCCCTCGCGGCCTGGGTCTAGTTGGCGGCGGGGTCGGGTCCGCGCAGGCGGCGATGGAGCTGCATATCCTAGAGCACCGGGGGCGGGTGCTGAGCATCGCCCGTCCGGGTCTCCGGCTCTACACCCACCCACCCCCTCATCAGGCTGCTCTTCCTGCCCCGCCGCAGCAGGTGCAAGTTCTTCAGCCTGACGGAGACCCCTGAGGATTACACGCTGATGGTGGACGAGGAGGGCTTTAAAGAGCTGCCCCCATCTGAGTTCCTGCAAGTAGCTGAGGCCACGTGGCTGGTGCTGAACGTGTCGTCTCACAGCGGTGCAGCAGGGCAGGCTGCCGGGGTCACCAAGATCGCCCTCTCGGTCATCGAACCACTGGCGGAGCACCACGTGTCTGTGCTAATGCTGTCCACTTACCAGACTGACTTCATACTGGTGCGGGAGCGGGACCTGTCCGTGGTGATCCACCCGCTAGCCCAGGAGTTTGACATTTACCGGGAAGTGGGCGGAGAGCCCCTGCCTGTGGCCAGGGACCAGTCCAGCAACGACTTTCCCGGCACTCAGCATGGACCCAGCCCCACGGTGCATCCCATCCAGAGCCCACAGAACCGCTTCTGTGTCCTCACACTGGACCCTGAGACGCTGCCAGCCATCGTCACCACCCTCACAGATGTCCTCTTCTATTGGCACAGCACTCCCAAGGAGGCAGCCTCTAGCGGTCCTGAATCCAGCTCCATCAAGTTCTTTGCCTTCCCCCTCATCGAGGGCTCTATCTCCATTGTCATGGATGCTGAGACACAGAAACAGTTCCCCAGTGACCTCCCGCTGACCAGCTCCTCAGGGGAGCTGTGGAAGACGGTGCTCATCGGTGGACAGCCCCTGGGTTTGGATGAATGGGGCATCGTGGCACAGATCGCGGTTCCCCTGGCTGCTGCTGACATCTCCGCCTACTACATCAGCACCTTCAACTTCGACCATGCCCTGGTGCCCGAGGATGGTATCAGCAGCGCCATCGAGGTCCTCCAGCGGCGGCAGGAACGCCTGGCTCCCTGAGACTGGTGGGGAACAGAGCAGCCTCCCTGTTCTCCCCTGGATCCAGGCTTCCAAAGACTCCTCTAAGCTATTTCTTTAAGCTCTGGAATGAGCCCCTATTCCTGCCAGGGAACCCTCGTTCTGCTCTCTGTATGTAAGCTGTGTGCAGGCATCGGCTCTTACGTGGACACCTGTGTGTACTCGCTGGTGGAGTGGGCAGCTGCTCGCCTGATTAGGTCTGCCAGGAAGGGGAACATGGTGCTCCAGACTTAAGCCCCCAACCCATCACTCCCTGCACGGCTTCAGGGTTTGCACAGTCCCTGCCTGAGGCCCGAGCCATTTCCCCCAGCCTTCCTGGGCCAGCTGTCCCCCTGGACAGGGCCCTGACCTCCATTCTGCCTCTGGTGGGGTCGCCTTCTTTGGCCAGGTGAGTCCTGACAGTGCCTCTCCCTCCTGGGGCCTCCAGGAAAAGTATTTTGACATCTCTCCCTCTTCTGTTTTTATTGCCTTGTTAATAAAGGACTTTATAGTGAAAAAAAAAAAAAGAATTACAAGACTTGTAAAGTAACTCAGAATAGAAAACAAAAGCCACATATTTTCACTAATAAGCTAAGCTTCGAGTAGGCAAAGGCATAGTGTGGTATAAAGGACAATGCAGACAGAAGCGGGAGGGGAGAGCTGATGTAAAAACTAAAAATAGGATAGAAGAGGGGTGGAGAATAATGTTTTTTAAATCATATAGAAAAGAGAAGAAATACACAGAATGTTAACTGAATAGGAAGAATATAAAATTCCATGTATGATATCTGCAAATGTATAAAAATATACAGAAATGAAAAGCATATAGTGTATGCCTTATTAAAATAATTCTATAGCAAGCTGGCTGGTTTTGTTGGTTAAAATTCAATTGTTAGCTTGACAAAACTGAGTTTTTGGCCTATTCATGTAAGATCTATGTTAAGAGGCATATACCACAGAAGTTCTTTTCTCTAAAAAGGTTTAAAACCCACTAGAGTATATGAGCAGATAGGATGCATGCCTTTCATTCTATTTACTCCTGAAATGCCAATAAAATGATGATAAGGGATTGTCTTTGGAAAAAAAAATATAATAAACCCATAAGGATAAAAGAAGGGAAAACAGGAACTTGGAGATCTGTAAAAAAAAAAAGATGGATTTGTGCTGTTGACTTCGTAGTTTATATGACATGTAGAAGAGGTTTGAGTTATACCAAATGGTCCCACTCCCAAAGTTCAGAAATTGATGGCATTATTAGGTACACCTGAAAGGACTGTGTGAAGGACATTGTCAGGGGTCACATTACCAGGTCCCCTTCCCAGCTCTAGGTAACTGCCGTTCCCCTACTTGTGCCCCGTCTCCTGTCCTCTCAACGCCTTTGACCTCAGCCATGGCCGCACTGCCCTGAATGCTTTCTGCAATGAGCCTTACTGAACTTTCTCAGTTCACAGCACTCAGGTCTACATAACCCGGGAGTGGAGAGGCATTAACTCCAAAGAAACAAAACAACTACTTCTGTTGGAGAATAGTAGCCATCAAGAGGATGCATTTCAGGTAGTTCCTCAAGCAGTTCCAGCTGTATTGAGCCCTATCTGCAGACGTGAGCCTCTCTATATTTTTTAATTGGCTTTTCCTTCTGTCTGCCACGTTCCCCAGGCCCTCACATCACTGTTTCCTGCAGTCACTTCCCGAATAAAATTAAATGCCTACATACCTTTGTACTAAGCTCTGTTTTTAGAGAAAACCCAGGTTAAGAAAAATTTGGTCTAAATATTAATAATAATATATAAAGTGTAGCCCCCCAAACAAACAATCACTAACCCAAAAGAAAGAAAATGCTATTCTTGCAAGGAAGAGTAATCATAGCACCACACACCGCTCAACTTCAAGTAGCAGGTGAGCAGTCATCACAACAAAGCCCGAACGGTGATCTGACCTGATTGTTGTATGAGAAGATTAGATTACTGCAAGAATGTGCAATAAGAAACATACCGTGCCTATAAGATTAAAGACAGCCATAAGCCCCACTCGAACGTCTCATAGGCCTTCACTGTGCGTCACTTAGCAATATGATGTAACCTGCCCTGGGGATTTTCAGCCCTGGCTGGGGAATTACCAGGTCTCTGTGACAATAAGCCCTAAAAATCCTGATTGCCTAGGCCACTTCAGCATATATGCCATTTTCATGAACCCTAAAACAAAGCTTACCATTATACAATTACTGAAAGTTCCTCTATGAAAGAAACACCTAATGACTGAACCCAGACTAAATACAGGAATTAAAAAGGAGGAAGAAGCCCCCAAACACTGAGCATGGTCTCTGGATGAAGATCCTCCCCATCAGGTGGTCATCTGACCCTGACTGTATCTGGCCCGGGCCGCTGGCCTGCTCCCACTATCCATCTCGTAGGATCATTCATTGCCGCAATGAACTGCCGGAGCATCAGGCAGTGCCAAAGACCCACTGTGGATGCTGAATGGACAGAAGGGAAACAGTTGCACCTGGAGAAGCTGGTTAACTAGGAGCAACCAAGACTCGCGGAGGTGCTAACTGGATACAAGAATGAGATTTGCATAAACAAATGAGTAATCACTCCCATTCCCATGGGGAAGCAGGAGTTTAGAAAGGTGAAAACAAACTTTAAGAAATGCCTAAAATTAAAGGTGTGTTAACAGGTTGCCATTGCTTCCTTGTCAGGAGTTGGGGCAAGGCCTTTTTCCACACTCCCAACTTTTCCACTGGAATATAAAAAGAGCAATTACTGTGAAAATGTTATAGTGTGAATATAAACAGAGTAATTATTTTGAAAATATTTTCTCACTTTCCATTTTATCTTTTAACTGTCTGCAAGAAAGATGAGAAATGGCACAAACCTAAATCATTCTATCTACCGTCCATTATCCATCTACTCTCCATATTACTCAAGAGTACTGCTTCAAGCCTTTTAAAATTCTGTATTCCAAAGAGAACCAGCTTCCAAAATGTGAGATCCTGAGGCTTGTGTGACATTTGACATCGGATCCATTCCTCCAAGAGTCTGATAAGTCAATGGCAACAGACAAGTGGATTCGTTTTTAGGAAAAATAACCCATATCTATTTTTGTTGTAGCTAAATTTTTGTATCCTCTTTTCTACTATAAAAGGAATCTTGATACAAACCCCAAGAGCGAGTTCTTGGATCTTGCACAGGAAAGAATTCAAGGTGAGTTGCAGAGTGAAGTGGGAAGAGAGAGTTTATTGAAAGCCTCTCAGTTACAGTAAGGAGAGTAAGTTATCCTCAGAAAGCAAGAAAAGGAATGCCCCGTCTTCTAAGTTTTTCTTATATAGATGTCTTGTCTATGTAAAGAAAAAACTAGCCGGGCGCGGTGGCTCAAGCCTGTAATCCCAGCACTTTGGGAGGCCGAGGTGGGTGGATCACGAGGTCAAGAGATCGAGACCATCCTGGTCAACATGGTGAAACCCCGTCTCTACTAAAAATACAAAACATTAGCTGGGCATGGTGGCATATGCCTGTAATCCAAGCTACTCAGGAGGCTGAGGCAGGAGAATTGCCTGAACCCAGGAGGCGGAGGTTGCGGTGAGCCGAGATCGCGCCATTGCACTCCAGCCTGGGTAACAAGAGCGAAACTACGTCTCAAAAAAAAAAAAGAAAAGAAAAAACTAAGCTGTATGTATGTGCGGGTGGGCTGACAGAATGATGAAATTTACTATTCTATTGACTTAAAGAAAACTATCCTTGACATTTTAGTGAGTAAATCAAAGCATAACTATAATTATCTTGAAAGCATATATTGTTATGGTATTGGGACATCTGGACTGTCTGTTGTTGGAGTTTGTCCTTGCAGGCATTACCAAGCTCTTTCCTTAGCTGTAAACACATTAGGGACCATGAGTCATTACTGGCAAGGAATGTACCCTGCTAGCTTTAAGACGGAGTTGATGTTAAAATGGTGTCACGCTGGCTCTCCTAGGCTCCCGCTTCCCTAACGCTCTTGAGGTGACTATTTTATTCTTGAGTATAAACAGTCAAATGCAAAAAGCAATGAAATAATTTTCCAAAATCAGGATTCCCTCCGTGGCATATACCCAAGTCATTTTCCGTCCTCATTCCCATGACCCTGATTCTAAAGTTTCCACAGCAGAGCTGCCTGGGCACTGCCCCTTCTCAGCTCACCTTCATTGATCTTTTCTATTTTATTTTACTTTTTACAACCACTGAGTAGCCTCACACGTCACATTTTCAGGCAGTGAGCTCTGCTTTTTTGCATCGAACACAAGTTGATTTCCCATTTCAACATTAATCCCAAACTTTGTAAAGTACCTTTGGAAGGTGAGGCAGAATACTTAGGGTGATTTCATCATTTGGCCCAGTTACTCAAAGAAGATGTAGGCATTTATTTCTAAAACGACTCTATATATTTAGGAAGACAATTTTGCATACAGTTACTGTCAACCTCAAACAATCCCTGTTTGAAATATTGTTGCACGTTGGCTAGAGGGAACCAGACACTCCAGGCCTTGGGAGATGATGGTCCTGAACTCTAACAGAGATTATTTAGGTTGGTGCCATTTTCCATCTTTGGTGAAGACAGTTAAAAGATAAAATGCAAAGTAAGAAAATATTTTTAAAAGGCTATATTTTCTACCAAACAATTAATGGATTAACTTGAACTCTCCAGAGTTACAAAAGGCAGGGAACTCTCCATTGTTAGATGTGCTCTGGAAGAGGCTGGACACTGAATAGGAAGTTCATGAATCAAAAATGCAGTTGTGCTTCCAACACATTAAAGCCTCTGGCCGGGCGCGGTGGCTCAAGCCTGTAATCCCAGCACTTTGGGAGGCCGAGGCGGGTGGATCACGAGGTCGAGAGATCGAGACCATCCTGGTCAACATGGTGAAACCCCGTCTCTACTAAAAATACAAAAAACTAGCTGGGCATGGTGGCGTGTGCCTGTAATCCCAGCTACTCAGGAGGCTGAGGCGGGAGAATTGCCTGAGCCCA